TAACCCTGACAATTGCATAGTGATGTGAATAACTACTTTACCTGTAACCATTCGTGCCTCATAACGTCCGTGATGTCTGCACGGTGAGTTGGTGAAATTTGAAGCATTTTCTTGATAAGTCTTGTCACAATCCTGTTTGATGCCAGCTCAGGTAGGGGAACGTCATTCCTATTAGCACTGACACTAGCATATGAACCTGTTAGGCTGAACAAACAAATTTTCAGTATAACGTTCTAAAATATTACTAATGATTCGTGTTGTCTTACCTCAAATACAATATTACTCCCAAACTCCATACATCAACTTTTTTCGTGTAGTTTTGATGCAGTGTCTCAGGAGCCATGAAGCGTACGGTTCCAATTGCCGTATTGGGTGGACTGTGCAATAATTCTGATTTTGATATTCCCAAGTCAGTGACTTTGATTAATGTACGTGGCTGAGCACGGTGCAAAAGAATGTTGGCAGGCTTCAAATAAATAGGCAAAATATTAAGCAAAATATAATGTAAAGAACGCAAGTAAAACAAATCATTGATAATATTATGTTATCGACTATTCTAATATTGAATAAGTTCATATAATACAGGTGTACCATATGTACGAGAAGGAAACGTCAAAATATTGCAAATAAGATCTTAAAACAATTTTAAGCATATTTTCTAATGAACTACTTGAATATTCTGAATGTCTAATTCACTATAAGCACTCAAAAGTTGTTTTGAAAATGCTTTCCTGGCAAAAATTTGCATTCTGGAAGCATAGAAACACTCTAGAAATATGAAAATTGTTATGTACAAAAAAAATTGTTCAGAAAGATAAATTAACCTAGAAATAAAAAAGCAGTCGAGTTGTGTAAATTGGGTACATTTTTATTTCTGCGTTAATATTTTTCTTTCTGAACAAATATATTCATATCTTTTGTAACAAATAAGACATTTGTGTAATTTTAAAGAAAAAAATTACAATTTGAACTTTACGTCATATTAAAGAGTAGAATTAGCACTCTCCGTTCGACAAGTTGGAAAAAACAATTTGAGGCCTATTTCACAAAATGGCGTTTCAGCGTTTCTGAAAATGCGAAATTTTGAGCTAGTTTTCACAGAAAACGGTTGAGTGTTCGAGAAACTTTATACCACATTTTTTAATGTACTCATCAATATAATAATGTGAAAAAATCTCCGCTAATGTAAATATCAACAACATGAGACACAAGTCAAAAAATTGTTTTGGTATTTTTTGGAAAAAAATAAGAATAGAGCGCATTTATCACAATCCCTAATATCAGTTTAAAGAAAACGTGGGACGCTGTTTTGAGAAAATCTTGTTTGTTTTTTTTTCTTAATTTTTCAAAAATTGCACGCAATATTTAGCGAAAACGACTAAAACATTTAAAAAATATACAGGACAGTAATGAAAGAACTCATTATGAAGACCTTTTTTTTTTGAAGGATAAAATCTCTAATTTTAATTTTATAGATGTGGGAAGGCGCCCAAAAAATTGCAAAAGTTCAAAATTTTCGAAAATTTACAGTTAACCCTGGCGATCGGATCTATGTTACCTTTATAAGTGTATTTTACTCTATTTTTGAAAGAAATTCAACGAAAAAGTTGGAGCTTTTTGAGAAAATATTGTAAATATCCGGGCGGCTTCTTGTATAGTATCCCCAAATTATGAAGATTTTTTTTTTCAAAATCGCAGGGCCTCTTTTCGAGCCAGATCGGCCGGAGAATATCCATCTTCCAAGAATTCGTACGTATGGTTTAGGCGCTAGTGGTGTTTACGGACGGACAAACGGACGGACGGACGGACGGACGGACGGACAACATTTCATTCAAATAAGTGAAATACTGCACAAGAAATTATTTTTTAAAAGCTATTGATTGAAAATACACTCTGTGAGGCACGGTGTCACTGGGACTAGAGTTATGTTCAGCTGTGTTCGACAAAATGAGACTTTTGAACCTTTTATTATATTCTTGGATCAATATCTTCAAGATAATCCTATCTCTGTAGCACGCTGCTTGTCAGAAACAAGCAGGATCACGAAAGCTATATTAAAACAGAATT